CATGCCTAAAGTAGTTAAATTATGTACGTATAAAACCTTCTATACGTCTGAAAAACCCCGTAAATCAATGTGTTTTTAATACTCTATGTGAGTTTTATAACCATGCTATTGACCAGGAATGCCTATACACAACGTTCTTCAGGCGTTGGAATGTTTTGACGTTTGTCACCCCAAATGGTGTACTGTAGCTAACAGTCAGGGTGCGGGGTTGTCAATCCCGTATAGATCTATACAAAAACACCAAGCTCCCCCTCCAAGGGATTCTGGTATATAATACAGGACTTGAAATGTGTACTCGAGTGTATGTGAAGTTTAATGTCTCACAAAACTTAGTATAAAACAGATTTACGTGTGAAAATGTTCGTTTGTTCTTGTGTATGAAAGAAAATTCTTGAAATAGTGTTTCCAGTATGTAAAAGTTCGTAGTATTCTCGTAAAACTATACCTATTATAGTTTTCTAAAAGTGCGTTTCGTTTGTATAGTAATCCCTAGTGAAAATGCTCACTTGTTATGAAAAGTATAATTTTTGTAATGGTAAAACTGACACACATACATATAGTATAAGCATACATAAATCATTTCTTATTTCAAAAGATAAGATGTTATCGTGGTATAAATTTGCATATGAAAGTTTTCCCTATAATAGTTATAAATCACATATGATTCCATTGATAAAACGCGTATAATGAAACTTTATTATATAAAACACGATAATAATCGAGTGTTTTACTTGTATCCCCCCCCTAAAAGCATATAAAAGTATTTATAAAACATTTAAAAATGTGGATTATAGGGGTATGAACTCACTTGAAAGATCGAAGAAGGTGAGATGAATACCGGACAGAATTTCGACTCGAGAAAGCGGATTTTCTCAGGATTCTCGAGAATCTCGGGAGCACAAACGACCTTCGGGACTTGAGCAAGGTAACCGGGACTTCGGGATAGCACGTGCATGGAAAACGAGGCAAAAACGCAAGAGAGATGAGAGGAAATGTTTCTTTTCTTCGGAACCCTCGCATCCCTTTTATAGGGGGTGGGAACCGCCTCCGTACGCGGGGCGTACGCGAGTACGCTGGGTGTACACGTGCATCACGCATGAGCGCATCCTCGACTACTTCGGACTCCGGATGGGACTAGACATAAGCTCGCATAGGGCGCGACGTGGATGATCCGAGGCCTAGGCCTTGAGTACGCTGGGCGTACGCGTGCGTGGCTCAGCCTTCGGATAATACCGAAATTTCCATTAAAGTTTATATTTTTAATATTTAATAAACTTAAAAAAATCATATCTTCTTCATACGAACTCCATTTTCGACGTTCTTTATATCCACGCGTAGGTGAGATTATACTCTAAAACTTTCGTTTAGATTCCGTCGGCAAACTTTGAAATTATTTTTATTATTTATTTTTAAAAGATCGTGGTAAGAGAATTTTATTAGCAATTCATAACATCATTATCTGACGTCTGTTTTTGCCAGATTTTTTACCGTTGAAAAACCATTGTCGAGACCTTCGATTCTCATTTAGGTCATTTTGGTCAAAAGCCGCTCAATCTCTGATTCGAGTTTTTAGTTGTTCGTTGCTAAGCCGAACTTGGAAAATTCATAACTTCCTTATACGAAGTCAGATTTGGGCGTTCTTTTTACGTACGATCACAGTTTAATGACATTCAACATAATAGGTAATTTAATTAGTGATTTTTGGATATTTTATTTTTGAAGTAAATTTCATTATAACGAACGTGGTTACAATACTTGACTTTTTAGGTCGTTTACATAGAGTTGAAATACCGGGTTGTCACATTCTCAAGTTTTGCAAGACTAGAAACTTAATTAACTAAACTAACTAAGTATCAACTATTGAACAAAATATTAAAACTAAAAGCAAGAAAAACAAAAGACATTTTAGACCAAGGTAATTGAGTGACTTTCGTTTAACTTTTATTTAGTTGCTATTATGGTTGATTTATGGAAGTTCAATGGATCAGTTTTTTATTGATTTCCGATTCCTAAGATGACCAAGTTAATGTTCACTAACTTAATCCTTTAGCAAACAAGTTCATTCATACAGTGATTAGGTGGATAAACCAACATGCTTACTAGTGTTCAGTTCAAGATAAATTAGACTTATAATAGATTGATCAAATTAGTTTGTTGATTCAATACATTATATGATTGATCATCATATATTAGCTCCTACGATTATTTACCCACTTGTCTATTTAACCCTAGGTTTTGGTCAAAACACTAGTCCTATAATTTTTGCAATTCACAAATAACATAAGATTCAAGTTCAATTAAGAAAGATGGTCATGCAATCTAGATCAAACTCAACAATAAACATAAAAAGTAGTTCTCATAAGCATAGAAGGTTCTTTAATAAGCTAAAGTAACAAATAACTAATAAAACTTAATCCTAACCATATATCAAGCCATAAAAAGTCAAGCAAACCTACACTAAATGAAAGTCATATGGTTTTAGCCCATTATTACAGCAATCAAACTCCGAAAAACGAGATTCATTGTAACAAACATGATTAAACTAATGTAGAAAATCGTAAATAAGGGTTATATTGCCTTAATGCTCTCAATTCCGAATCTATGATCGACTTCTTCAATTCCAAGCTTCAAAATGGATACTTGGCCTTCAAAAATCAACAGTAGCTTCCAGTAAAAGTTACAAATTTGAAGGAGAATGGCTTCTACTTATAATTTCCCAAAAACTAATCACCATGATGTGCTATGTTTACCACGTCGTGGCCTTCGTGGTTATCTCATATCCAAAAAGTCTTCTAGATCCATCGAGACAAGCCAAAATACCACGTCGTGGGAATGTCACCACATAGTGGACAATACATTTTTCTTCATTTTAAGACTTTTTCCAAATTCCTAGCTTCCAGCTTCCAGCATCCTTTTTGCTCCGAGCATGTCTTTTACCCCTACAACACAATATTCAACAGATTAAGTACCTTATGTTCTATAAAGGGCATAAAAATAACTAGAAATATTTATATATGATGTAAAATATATGTATAGATATGCACATATCAAATACCCCACACTTATTCTTTGATTTCCCCCAAGCAAATTGATTTTTTTATCTTACCTATATTGCATAAAATAATCCATTTCAAACCCAACCATTATCCTAAGACTGCAAAGCACACATTTGTGTCTATGATTCATAAAAACTTTCTATTTGTAAATACTTACAATCCTTATAAACCTTCACCCTTAGCTTATACAACATTCATTTTTGCAACCCTCTGAATCCATCCCCATAAATCTTTCTTAACTTCAAGGTATTTTTGGTTAAACTATCAAGCATACATAAACTCTAAAAAGAATTACAAATTTGATACCATAATGGAGCTCTTTGAAATTCGTCTCTTTTTTTATATTTGCCTTTCAATTTCATTGAATGCACAACCTTTTTGTTTGATTTTTGGTATCTTCAACTTTTTGGATTTCTTCCAAATTTGATATCATAATGGAGCTCTTTGGAATTCGTTTATTCTTTGATATTTGCCTTTCAATTTCTTTGCATTCACCACATTTTTGTTTGATTTTTGGTATCTTCAACTTTTTGGATTTCTTTAGAATTTTGATCTTCGGATTTCATACTTTGGCAGCTCCAAAATTCTTTCAAATTTTTTGTAATTTCTCTATCTTTATATATCTCACTTTTTTCACTCAGGTCCTTCATGCTTAAGCAAGAAGCTTAACTTAAACCTTTATTGGTTAGAGGCATTAGTCTAAGTGTAGTGACTACATAAGCTTTACTGGATGGATTTCAGGTACACATTGTAGAACTTATTACATCATATAAACTACTAGATTATCTTTCATATATCATGGATTTTCACTAATAATGGGAAGCTACAAATACACTATAACATGTGTTGGATCGGGTAAACATTTGGGCTCTCATCGGATCATCCCATCCAATGCTAGCAAAAACTTTAATTAGCTAGGTTTTCCTAATTTAAACTATTATTTCAAGTCTATATGAAAGCATATTTGTAAAAACTAGCAATGCAAAATTTGAAAAATCAAATGTTTTTTTCCTAATGCAATATACCCCTACCCTACACTTATTTGATGTAATGTCCTCATTGCATGCCATGCAAGACATAAAAGTAAATATGGAGAAAAAAGAGCAGACTCCCCTATGATAGAAGATGCATCGTGGATCATGTTACTCGTGCGTAGGATCGCTTGCTCATAAGTGTGAAAATGGAAGTGGTTGACCGCTACGGAACTTGGCTTTAGCAGTTAGACACTTATACTTCGTAATCTATAGGATAATACTCGAAAATCGGACTTGAGAAGTCACCACCTCGTGGTAGTAGGGACCACGGTGTGTTGGGTGGTAGCATAATTTTTTTGTTTTTTGTAAGAGAAACCATGCCATGGTGAGGGTTACCACGTCGCAATGGGATCAAAAATGCAAATATGAGAGCATTCTTCAAGACATTCTTCAACAATTTGGTCAACAACAACTATATGCACTTCTGGAAACGTGACTCTTCACTCGGTTGATTAAAAGAATGCTCGAAATGCTCAAATCTCACCTCTCTCGCTGCTTTCTACCCTTTCTATTAAACTCATCAAACTCTACAAAAAGCTACTCATCTCTCAATCTCAAAATTTCCTAAAAGTCTACGTATAAGAAACATGATAAAATAAGGAAACAAATAAAAATATCCAAATACTAAGTTACTAATATTTAAACAACTAAACCAAAAAAACCAGAAAAAAAAAAGAGTGTCTTTAATCAACTTCAATTAAATGGATAAATCACTACTCATCCTCATCATGGTCTCCACCTCCACTTCCTCTAGCACCACCTTGTTGTCCAACCTATAACTCTGTACGTGTCGGGATGTAAGGGTAAGAGACCGGATTGCACTTGGCATTTGCAAGTTCATATGTTGCATCAAGAGATTAATATGTATGTTGGTTTATTTGACACCCCAACCCAAATTAAATTGATATCTCTAGAAAGCAACATTGTATGAATCCATTGGAAGCTCATCTTCAGCTGGAATCACAGGTGGCTCATCATCATTTGTGTCAGCTGCTCGTTGCCTTACCTGCCTCCCTAGTTGGTTTCTTGGGGTATCATTAGGAAATGAATAATTACCAAACCCATTGTCAATGACACTATTGATGTGCTTGTATAAAATTGGAGAAAAAGACTTGCTAGACTCTATTGTCAACATGGTAGCTTCACGTTTTTGTAGAATCCCAAATGACTGTGTCAACAAGCTAATGAACATTCCACCATAAAGAGGAGACCCATAACAATCCTTTCCCGCCCGAATTGCCAAAAATCCAGCCATAATATATGGAATGTCAACATGGATATTTGGGGTAATGACACTTCACAAAAAGAAAACATCCAATCCTAGGACCTTGTCCCCCTCCTGTCTTTGGTTGATATTGTTGGTGATCAAGCAGTGAAGAAGGCGATGTATAGAAGGTCGGATTTCACTTTCTTGTGCGGTCCCGGATTGGTATTCCACATTCGCTATATTTGGCCAATATTGGTCGTCCTTGAACCCCTAAGTTTGTACGGATACAACAAGAAATAAACTCCACATAAGATTCGGTATACACATCGGACGGAAGATAAAGCTCTATCTATATTGTTAAATCATCCAAGCTAAGTTCTCGCCTCTTTCCACTCAAATAGGAGGTGATGTTCGTCAGCTCATGAATACCAATTTTTCTTCGAAATGTTACAAGTTCCAAAAACTTCACCACCAACTCCTTGTATACAGGTTCCTGAATATGAAACAATCTCCTCCAAGCCATACATACAAACCTCTTTGGATGCCATCATAAGATTGGACAAGAAATGTGTTGGAAAATATTCTTTTATATCAACTCAGATACCGATTGTTGGAAATATAAAAATCTGATCACTACAACAAAAGGTTCGGTTACTAGTTACTATGTGATAGATATATACGTTTAAGATATAAGATGTAGATATATCTTAAATAGTTTTCTTGAAAATTAAATAACATGAAAGAAAATAAACTAAAAATAGTTTTCTTGAAAATTGAATAACAATCATTTCGGACCGATTTACGTCACCAACAAAACTATTTTTTCTATAAAAAGGTGAAATTCATACCAAAATTCCATTAAGAGATGCCAAACATTTTTTATTTGAATGGATAATATAAGAATATAGTTTATTCATATGTGAATAACTTTACTACACGTAAATAGCAGAGTTAATCATTGCTGATTGAATAGCTTAATTGTGACTAATACATATAATAAAAAAATATTTAAAAATTGTATTTTATAAAAAAAATATTATATCATAAAAATCTAAGAAACTTTTATTTAGTAACCAAACAAGTTTCTGAATCCCCAAAACAATTAGATACTAGTTGTGAGACCTATGTATTATATGGGTTAATTTTAAAAAAAAAATGTCAAAATATTTAAGACATTTGAATTTATAAGAAAATAACAAAAATTAATGAATTATTATAATGAAAATGTTTTTTATCTTTTAAATTAAAAAATAATTTAAATAAATAAATAAAAACTAATTAATGATCTTTAGTTTTGAAAATTTTGAAATTAAAATGTAAGTTTATTAATGAAATTGATATCTATTTATCACTACATTTATTATAATTATTATATTAAATATTATATGAAATTCAATAAAATAGAAAAACTAATAAAATAACATATGAAAAAAAAAATTAATTCAAAATTACCACAAACGACATGTAACAAATTGAAAGATAGTATGACAAAAAAAAAAAAAAAAAAAAAAAAAAAAAAAAAAAAAAAAAACTTTCGTTTATTGGAGAAGATATAAAAATAAAAAGAAAATAACATCCCAATCTCACACACAAATAATCTGGAGTAATCTACTATAACCATTCAATACCTAAAGGTTTACTGACATATAAACCCCTAAACTGAGTCCAAAGAACGAGAAAGAAGCAAAAAGAAAGGATGAAGGTAAGAGACTAAAGATTATGTCGTTTGTATTGTATTTATGGAATGAAGAGAAACGCACTTTATATCAGCGAGTCCAAGCATTAGTCCTGTTAGCCTAATCTTGTTTAGCCAATAAGCTTGTTTAGTCCATCAATATCCTTAAGCCCAACTCCAGATTTTAGTCCATCAACATGATTATAACACATTAATTATTACATGACATGTCCATATTTAAACAAGAAATAATTAATAATTAACTACACAAAACTTGCTCCACAAATTCAAAACTAAGATTGTATTTTATGTTCATATTTCATTTAGTTTGAGAGTTTTTTTTGAAGAAAAACAATGTAAATGAAAAAAAAATACATTATACAATATTGATTTTGTTAGAAATTTTAAAAACAAATCTGAAATATCTAAAACAAAATGGAGAGAGGAATGAAAATCTGCATTCCGCTTGCCAAAAAAAATAATAAGAATGATGGACGGAGAAAAAGAGAATGGCACAACTGTTTGTGGTCTTTGGAAAAACCATCTAATACAGTAAGTTTCATTCTTAAAGCAACATTATTTTGTCAAAAGTGCATTCTATTATTCTTTATTAACATCGGTTTGATTTATAAGCTATTAAAAATATATGATTATAAATTACTGATAAAAGATCTTTATTGTTCAATGGTATACATGAAATGTTAATGTGATATCGTGTACATCAAATATTTCAAATCCAAATAACAAAACTATATTTACTATTTTTTATAAGGGTTTACATATGCACCAACTAGTCCATTTGGTATAATACTTACTATGATATGTATCTTTTTTTTTTTAATGTCATTATAATAAACATTTGTTGAAAATAATAATGGCAACTTTTGTTGAAACTTTAACCATTATAACTAGGGTTAATGACTTAGAAGGATAACAATGTTTTTGCTTTTTCCACATTAATTCAATTTTTTTTTTAACATATCACACTAATATGATGGTATATATAACCGTTTAAAAATGATAATAAGATATTAATTTGTCCACATTAAGTCTCTAAAATCTTTTTTTGTACATATTATACTAACATGACTTTTATAATCGTTTAAAGATGGACAATAATGTTTTAATTTCATCCATATTAGGTCCCTATTTTTAATATTTTTATCATGTCATATAATTTTTTTACAATTTATATTAGTATGTAATTAGATTGTTTCATTATTTCATCTTCTTATTTTATTCGCACATTCACCAAAACTATAGTTTCAATTGAAATGTTACAAAACAATTTTTTGTCATTTTTAGAAATAAACAAATAAATAAAACTAATAATAATCAAAGTCTTAGTGATTAAGGCTATATTTGATGCGTCATAGCTAACTGATAAGCTAATTTATTTTTCGATATTTTTTAAGTTGTTATGTTTGACAAACTAAAAAGTAGTTTATAAGCTAGCGCTTTAAAAAGCTACTTAGACTACATTTTTAAAAGTTTTTAATTTAAAAATATACCCTTTAATTAATTAAGAAAACATATTTTTTAAATGTCATTTTATATCATTATATAAATTTCAGATAGTTTATAAGTTAGTGGCGAAATCAGGGTTAAAGTAAAAGAGTATCTCCAAAAAGTAATGGCTTCGCCAATAGTGTATCACCAATACCTCATTACCTATCGGGGATACCTCACTACTTTTTGGAGATACTCTTTTACTTTGATCATGGCTATGTCACTGTCACTGGCTTATAAGCTATCTTAAATTTATATAATGACATAAAATATGTATTTAAAAAATATGTTTCTTAATTAAGTAAGAGGTATATTTGGCAATTAAAAAAAACTTTTAAAAAACCAGTCTAAGTAGGTTTATAAAACGCAAGCTTATAAGTTATTTTTTGGTTTGCCATACATGACAACTTAAAAAAGATCGAAAGATAAACTAGTTTATCAACTAGCTGTGGAGCACCAAAATAACCTTAATCACTAAGACTTTTTTTTTTTTTTTTTTTTTTTTGCAAAAATGTCAAAAAATTCTTATGTAACCTTTTAATTGAAACTGTGGTTATGGTGAATGTGCGACTAAAATGAGAAGATGAAATAATGAAGTCATCTAACTAGATACTAATATATTATAAAAAAGTTAGATGGAATGATAAAAATATTAAAAATATGGACCTAATGTGGCAAAAATTAAAACATTATTGCTCCTCTTTAAACGGTTATAAAAAACATGTTGGTGTAATATGTACAAAAAAAGACCTTAGGGACCTAATGTAGACAAAATTAAAACTTTATTACCTTTTTTAAACAGTTATATACAATTAAATTGGTATAATATGTAAAAAAATAAAAATAAAATAAAATAAAATAAAAACTTAAGGACTTAATGTGGACAAAATTAAAACCTTATTACTCTCCTAAGTCATTAACCTTTATAACTATATGTTTTTATTGTTATATAACATGATGCGTTTTTATTTGTAGAATGTGTATATCTTTTTATGTTATCCGTGTAAGTTTTTTATTCCACCTAAATTTCTTTTCAAACCAACTTAATATTAAAAACGATGTATTTTTCTTTAAACTAAGGTAATGTTTAATAGGCATATTTCCAATTTCAAACAATCTTTCTAGCTGAATGACCCGGAAAGAGTGATTGATTTCAAAAAAAAAAAAAAAAGAGTCTTTTTCGGTAAGATATGTTTTCCTATAATGCCCTAAAACCATATTTTTCTGATTGAATGAGCTGGAAAGACGATTATGTCCCAAACCTCGCATCTTTCTTTCTCCTTCTCAATAAGATCCTTACTTCATCGCCGACCAGCCTTTCAACGCTAGAGCGTCGCTGCAGCCACCAGCTGCACTCCAAAAGTAACCATCTCATCTCTTATTTTATTTTATTTTATTTTTTTTTTTCTGATTTGTTTCTTCTGATTGAAGAGTACCAGACGTGTATCTTCATCTGTTTCATCTTATTTTCTTTCTTCTGATTTTCGAACATAGGATTTAGGAGGATCATTTGTTATATAAAGTTTCAATTAGACATTATGATTTTAACATACATTTTATGTAATTTGGATTTTGTATGACAATTTATATTTAGATTTTTAAATGATTATTGTGTAATTTTGATTTTGTATGATAATTTGTATGTTTTATTATTATTCAACAACTTCATCCATCATCATACAGAACATTAGGGTAATATGATCAATTGTCATCATTCGGCACTGTCAGTCATATGTACAATCAAATAGCATAGTTTCGTTTTCAATCAGTAAACTTTATCAGACAACACTTTTCCAAACAATACTTTCTCAAATAAAAGCTATCAAACAGACTCAAACTTAAAGTTAACAATGGTGTATAGAAA